TCAGTCGCTGTCCGAGGTGGAGGGCACGAGCGGGTCCTCACCTGCACGCCGAAGTGCGAGAAGGGCTCGCCGAAGCATGTCCACATGTCGGTGTTGTAGCTGACGGTCTGGTTCTCCGAAATGCTGACGTTCTTGCAGCACGCTTGAAATCTGGAACAAAGGCTCAGGAATCAACACGAAGCCAGGATGTCCACAAACTTACTCCTCGCGACGGGTTGCCTTGGGGCGAACCTCATTTCACTATCCAATCAATCAAGCACCCGCAACAGGACACTCACAGAAACTAGAAGTCATGCTTGACAGGCTATGTATGTTCCATCGGACTTCGTGACGCCCAGGGAGCTGGTGAAGTAGGCATCCGCTGGGGTGTTCTCGTTGACCTGAAGGAAAAGCGATAGGTTAATGTTTGACTGCTAGAGGCAGAAATCATGGCATTAGATGATTAAATAGGTAAACAAAACAATGTTACACATGCATGCACACACACCACACAAACAAACACATACACAAACGCACACACATATGCATACGAGCAGCACACTACGCCTCCCCTTTTCCCAGAGACTCTGACCTGGAATTCATAATGGCAGGAAAATCCCACGGAGCCGTTGGCATGGACGACGCGAGCCCAGTTGGCGATTTCCTCGTAGAATCCGCCAAGGCTGTCCGAGTACAAGCCCGCACCCACGGTTGGCTGCGGAAACACCGGGTAGTACTTGATATCAACCTCCAGTCTGCACTTGCCCTCGTTCATATTGGTGCCGTGGTACACGTGCCTGCTGGTGGTATCTGAAACCAAAGGCCGGGCGACTGAGTGCGGAGGCTGTGCTCCTGAGGGGGAGAGGTCTCGGCCGTCAAAATGCTAAGCTCGCGTTAAGCTCAAAGTCAGTTTTAGTTGGAATGTTGGAATGAGAAGGAATGCTTCTCGGTGCAGGGTGTGCTGTGACGTCTATTCATCCTCTCCTGTTGCCAGAATAAGCGTCTGCGCTCTCTGCAGTGGCTTGCTCTCATTGCAGAATTCTTTCTGTTTTAACAGTATTAGCAAGAGTGAAAGTGACATCTTATATTATTTTCGAGATGAAACACTGAAACCAAAACGGCTCATTTTCAGAGGCACAAAAGGGAATTAGCGATGACTTCTGGGGCGTGTGTGAGAGTGAGCAATGGCAACCGAAATAATTCGCACTCTTACCTATGATCAGTATTTCATCCCTGGCACTCGCTGTCCTGCCATCGTCGGCAGTGACGGTGCAGCTGTAGTTGGCGCTCAGCTCATAGGTCAGCGTGGTCAGTTCCAGGTCACTGTCATCGCGTTCGAGGTTCACCTTGTCCTTCAGGAGACCTGTGGCTGTTCGGAGGGAGAGGCGGTCACTTTGGACTCGTCCCAGGGCAAAGGACGACACTCAGTATGGACACAGATTCTGTACGTTGCCTGGACGGGCGCGCGCCCTGGCACGCATTCCGAGGGACACCTACCAGTCGCAGGGGCGTTTGGCTTCCACTCGAAGGTTCCGGCCGAGACTTCCTCCTTCAGGATCTGCCAGAGGACCCCGGACACCGCCTGGCCCTCGCCCAGCGTGTAGTTGCAGACGATCGTGCTCTGGTTTCCCGAGGGACGGACGCTGTAGGAGATGTAGCGATGGTCGTCCGTGATGCTCGGGGGCTCGACCTCCAAGCAGGTGGCAGCACCTGGCGAAAGGAGGCAGTGAGTTCGTGCAAGGCCCTGCTCGCGGCGTCGGGGTCCGAGAAATCCCCACTTCGACTGTCGACTGTCGCCTTGTGTGTGTGTGTGTGTGTTATAGTTATAGTTATTCATATATATATACACATACATACATACATGTATATGTACATATATATCAGACACACATAAACACACATATATGCGTGCGTTCTTCCGCCTAGGCAAGGTTCAGAGCAGTCGGCCCCGACGCATTGGCGCATGCGCCACGCCCGCATCGCAGCGCATGTACCGTCTGCTTCAGATTTCCTTAAGGAGAACACCAGCTATTCAATGCGGAGTTTCGTAAAATATGAAAGAAACGGAAAGAGAGAGGGAGCAAAAGTGTAAAGAAGCCGTAACATCAATGCCGATGCGCGTCTGTAATTTCCTGCAAAAAGGAAATCCAAGGTACTGTTGCGGAATGACCCAGTAGGAGTCAACATTTTACAAGTTGCTAACAAAGAGTGCATGTTGATCAAATATGTCAGGATTATGTATGACCAAGAGATCGATCTAGTTCATAATAATCACACGTCTGGCAGAGGCACAGGTATGTGGCGCCAAAACACTACCATATGTCGCTATACAAAATTACTTTAAAACTAGCTATTCCATTATTTCGCACTTCCGTAAACTGAATAACAAATCAATTCTAAAATGCGTAATTACAAAAAAGAAAAAAAGTTGAACGAGTACATATCAAAATTTTTAATGCACGGCGGCCTCTGGCTCTCGTTCGTTGACAACATCGTAACGTCATAGACATGGATGGCGGTTTGCCAGGGATTAATTGATTTTAAAATGTTTCATGTCTTAAGGGAAGTGTCATTTTATATCCTGAAGATGATTATTTCTATGCTAATTTCAGATTCCAGTTGAACTTGATCTACACGTATATATTTCCACCACTAACCCCATACAGATAGTCAGATCATTCTCGGGAAATGCGTACTTCACCGTGAACGTCACGCAACTCAGAGCTAAGCCCCGTCGGGTCCTCGTCACATGGACACGAACAAATCCTGGTCGAGGTACAGACCTGCGAAAAGCACCACGAGGAGGACCAACATCGCGGAGTGACTGCTACTCCGTTCCCTTGAGGACGGCGCCTGTGAATGGCAGCGCTGGCCTCGCCAAGTACCGATCGCTGCGTCGGCGGGGATTCCCAGGGCGAGGCAGAGGGGCCGCCCACCTGTTGTAAACCGTGAGCGCGTCACTTCCTCTCCCGCAATCCGGCTTCGGTATAAACACGAGAGGCTTTCTTTTCCTTGTGCGTGACCCTGCTTTTCTTCGCTTTGTTGACAGAACCATGTGATAGGTGATGATGATAATGAAGTGGGTAGTGATGAGGGTTACGGTGATGAGAGTGTTAGTAATGATGATAATGATGGTGATGACAATAATAATAATAATAATAATAATAATAATAATAATAATAATAATAATAATAATAATAATAATAATAATAATAATAATAATAATAAAATAATAATAATAATAATAATGATAATAATAACAATAATAATAATAATAATAATGATACTAATACTGATAATAACAGTACTACTACTAACAATAATAATAATGACAATAATGGTAATAATAATGACAATAATGGTAATGATAATGATGATAATAGTAATAGTGATAATAATAACAATAGTAATAATGATAAAAAAAAATATACTAAAAAAAATACTAACAATAATGATAATGGTAACAGTAATAATGAAAATTATTTTAGTAGTATGATTATAATAATGACTGAGACGAAATGATAATAATGACAGGCGATCGCAAGGTTATACTATTAGACTTCAAACAGACTTATTTTTTACTTGCATAGGACTTGTTCAACACTGATGACCGTTGTCTTCGGCCTGTTTACTAATCGCCGAAGGTGTGATGGGCGGAAGAGGGTGGGGAGGGCACTGTTTCGTCGAGAGCTCCGGCAGGGGGCTGCGGGCGCCCTCTCTCTCTCTCGCTCTCTCTCTCTCTCTCTCTCTCTCTCTCTCTCTCTCTTCTCTCTCTCTCTCCTCTCTCTCCTCTCTCTCTCTCTCTCTCTCTCTCTCCCTCCCTCCCTCTCGCCCCCCCTCTCTCTCTCTCTCCCTCCCCCCCCTCTCTCTTTCCCTCTCTCTCCCTCCCCCCCTCTCTCTCCCCCCCCCTCTCTCTCTCTCTCTCTCTCTCTTTCTCTCTCTCTCTATCTCTCCCTCTCGCCCCCCCCCCCTCTCTCCCTCTCATTCTCCCCCCCCCTCTCTCTCCATCTCTCTCTCTCTCTCTGGTGCCCCAGAAAGGAGCCCCAATCACCGTCTAGCTGCAAGGCCAAGCCCAAACGTGGTGTCTTTAGTAAGGCAGACAAGATAGGACAAAGGAACACAATGGCCAAATATCCCAGCTGTACCAAGAGGCTGAGGAGGTGGTCCTCAGGCGACAAAAGGTTGCTAAAAAGCGGAACAGGACTTTCCCCCCCCTTCCCCCACCCATGTCTGGGGACAGAACAAAAGGGAGGGCGCTCAACCTCTAAGAGGAAGGGAAGCTTTCTCCCCAACGGACACCGACACCTCAAACAAAGAGGAGTTCCGGCTCTTAAAAAAGTGAGCAGAAAAGAACCACGGATAATAAACGGTTCAAAGAACATTGTAAAATCCTCCTTAAGAGCACGATCATCTCCTTCTTTGTGAGGAAGATTATGACTCTCCTGTTGGCTGCTGAGTCACTGCAGTAGCAACAACTTTTGGGAGGTCGAGGTGAAGAGGACGAGAAGGCAGTCACGGTCGCCATGACCAGCAATGACCAGAGCGTTGCAGTCCTGGAAGGGGAGGAAGCTAGACAGAGCCAAACCAAGCCCTAACCCCACCTTAGGGCGAAGCTGAAATCTCTGCACTCAGAGCCAGAACAGGGGGACCTGAGCAACCAGTTAAAGCAAGGCTAAAGTCAAGGATACCAAAGTTTCCAGCACAATGGAGGGATTCACAGCTAGCCATAAAACAGACGAAGATCCCTCAATCGGCGAGGACCCCAACATGTCAGTCACCCACATTGATGGGGAAAATGACTCTGAATCCGAATAATCAGATGTAATCAACACAAGTTAACATCATGGCCACACAATCTAAGCAAATTTTACATTACTAAATAAAATAGAATTTTTTTTTAAAAAGAAAAAATTTTTTTTTTTTTTTTTTTTTTTTTTTAATTTACTCTTTGTTCTTTCTCCCTATCCTAAAAAACAAAAATAAAAAAAAAAAAAAAAAAGAAACAAAAAAATAATCTTCAAAAACAAAAAATTCCCGAAATAACAAAAAAACATTTAAAACAAAAAAAAAAAAAAAAAAAAATAAAAAAAAAAATTTTTTTCATAAAAAAAAAATAAACAAAAACCAATTCCACTCCCTCCCTTAGCTAAACTAAAAAAATACTTTAAAAAAAAAAAAAAAAATTTTTAAAAAAATTTTCAACTTCCTAAAACAAAAAAAACAAAACCAACCACAAAAAAATCCAAATTTAAAAAAAAAAACAAAAAAAAAAAAAATAAAAAAAAAAAACAAAAAAAACTAAAAAAAAAATTTTAACTATTACTACAGCTTGGAACATTCATAGCTTATCTCAAGGAAGACATCTTATGAAATGAGTGCGATCAAGGAACACACATGCGTTAGCAAGAGCTAACGCATGTCAAAGGAGCACATCCGAGAAGGAAAACAGGACAAGCCAACTGGCAGGACTTCAGAATGCCTTGGCCCACTGTCTGAGAGAGCTAAAAAAAAAAAAAAAAAAACACACACACAGTTTTCGATCACCTCTGGGTTCTGATGGGATCTCTTACTCTATCAGCTCCCACCTAGGACTAGGAAGTGAGCTTACATCCCTGCAAACTCATCAATAAAGTTCTGGGGAAAAACTTCCACTTTGCCCAAATTGGAAGAGGGCCCACATGGTTCCCATCCCACAAAGAGCCAGGGGAAGTATCGGCCCAATCTTTCATCTGTTAGGCAAGATGGCCAAAGGATGGTACTAAACTCAGCTCCAGTGGAAAATGGGACCCCCATGGACACCTCCATGGTTCAAAAGGATGCATGAAAACAGCACACAAGCATAGCCACACTTTTAAGCACAACAGCTCTGTCATATCTGTGGTAGGATTTCTAGGACCTGGAGAAGGCTTTTGAATTAGGACCTGATCCAGAAGGGAATCAGAGGGAAGCTCTTGGTCTGGATAGGTGAATATTTTTTTTTTTTTTTTTTTTTCAGGAAAAGCACAGCCAAGGGCAGAGTTCCAAGGTCACCTATTACAGCACATGCTACTAGAACAGGGGAATGCCACAGGTCTTCCAGTCCAGCCTTTCCAGCACCCTAATATCCTGTATACCTCCCAATGAGGTGTAAGAGTATCTCCTATGCAGGACAATCTTGGCAATATCTTATTGGTCCACACTGTCTAAGAGGGCCCAGTGCTATCTGGATTTTATCTGAGGAGATGTTGTAGGACAGGACTAAAGCTCTCTGCCAGCTATCAATAGCCATGGTCTCTGCGACACAAGTTCAAGGTATAAATCTGCATGTCCAGGAATGAACTAGAATGAGTTCAGTCTTCCAATACCTTGGGGTAAGGATTGACCCAAACAAAAACAAAAGGGGGGGGGGGCCCTCTCCTTCAAAAGGAGGTCCAGTACTGGTTGACTGAACCCAGCAAGTCTGACATGAGAGCAATAACTGGGAGACACATGAATGCGGAATAAAGTACTAAGAGCATTCTTGTAATGCACTGTGCTTCAATACTGCAGAGTATTCTTGCTCAGAGTGAAAGAATAATAGAAACAGGGTCTCCAGGCAGCAAGGCATCAGAGGAAATGAGCTTGCCCCCCCAAACTCCCATGATTCATTCACTAAGCCGAAAAATCCTGAGGCAAGGTCCATGCCACAGCATTGCCATTTTCCTGCAGCCCACACAGAAAGAAACGAGATCCCCCCCCCTTGGCCAGATGGGTATTCAGACACTATTAAGACACTGGCACTCTGACAAACAATTAAATAGAGGTGTCAGAAGTCCTTTCTCATAGAAATCAGATTACTAGATTACCACTTGTGCATAGCAAATCTAAAAACAATTGATATGTAGAAGGTGTTGCAAGCACTATGCAGCCGAAAATATTCGTTTACATTATTTAGGAGTTGGGAGCACACAATTCTGAGACAGGGATCCCAAAAACAACGACCGGGCTGGTAAAGAGATTATACTGTATGCTTACATCATGGCGGTAGGAGCGCCTTCTGCAACATGGAAAAGAATCGAGTGTCATGGACAGCCATAAAAGCTGCACAGGCCGGGCCATATACTGGTGTAGCAACACGACGCCGCAACTGAAGTCAGTGTAGTTTTCCCAGTTGGGTCACACCAGGTCCAGCAGAACCAAGACAGAGGCAGCACCACAAGGGACGCCCTTAGCCGACTGGGGAGGCCTGCTACCGGCCCACAGATCTCAACTTCAGCCTCCATCACTCAGCCATACCTGTGGGCAATCACAACCCACACAGCCATTCCCCAAAGAGATAAGGACACCAGTCCAAACAGTAGATGCAACATCATATACTAACCAGTGACAATGGCAGTGACCCAACACTCCATGTGTTGGGTCATATCGCCATTCGCGTAGCTTACTCTCTGGGAGGGGGAGTACCTGCATCCGTATAACCCTGCAACATGAAGTTCAGTGTAGTTTCCCAAGTTAGGTCACACCCAGGTCCACCGTCATGTCTGCTCTCATTGGACAGTGGGCTCCCTTCGTTGCCTGCGCGCTGACACAGCGCACGTGTACTAAGCCACCAAAGCGGAACCAAGATCAGCAATCCATGATCCTCCATTAACAGTCCTGCCACAGGGAAACCACCTAGAAACGTAGTTCTCTCCTCCTTTACCGTGGTGAACCAGCCACCATTCTGATCAAATATGGCTAGATCAAGCAGGCCACTGTCTAGTCGGTAGCACATAGGTCGCCGGACTATCCTCTTCACTATAATAGTGACTACCTATATTTCCTCGTACCCCTGTGGCTATTGGGAGATTTGAGTCCCAACTATAAACTTCCCCTCATTTGGACTCTAGTTGGGTGGGGTGTGAGGAAATGAAGATTTCTAATTGTATGATTGTCTAAAGTTTACAAAAGAACTAGCTCTTCTCTGACGATCTTCGCAATCCACTGGCCAGTCCTTCTGGAAACATCACATGTCACCCTGCGCATTACCAGCTCCAAAGGGCAAGAATGGGGGATTGTAATGGTCCCGAGTTCCCAAACCAGGTAAAGAAGGAGAAAAGTCCTCCTCAGTCCATTAGGAAATCTTACCTGGTTAAAATGAAAGTGTACCATATAGTAAATACATAGTAGTGAAGGGACCATTGATGGTGTATCAGTCATGGACCTTGATATTTTTGAAGATAGTGAGGTATGTAACCTGATCACCCCACAGTGATATGGTAACTGATAGTTGAAGTTTCATCACTAGTGAGAGTTATTGCTGTTAAACAATATGTGACATTTCCTGGGTCAAGTCTCATGTCTCCTCACAAAACAATCAATTAGTGTAGGAACAGTTCGGACACCAGATCTCCTACTTTGGAATCATTAGTCCTTCCGGAATCAGTTAAGTTGCTTGGTACCACATCAAGGTAAAGCCATATGTGGCCCAACCCTTATGTGGTGCTTCCACTGCCAGGGTTATGGCATGGAGCAACTATTTTAAGGAAAATGGACAACAAGTGTGTGTAAAGTGGGTACAACAGGTCACGAGGATATGGCAACTGCTAAGGTTCCAATATGCTGTTACCATGCAAGAAGATCATGAAACTTCTAAGCAATGTAAAAGATAACAAGTTGAAAAAAGAAAGTATTTGGTAATACAGAGTGAGGGGGTCAGTTGTGCGAAGCAAAGTGACGTGCCCGTGTTGCGTTTGCAATTGCCGGGGAAGTCCTTTGGCCTTGGTTTTAGCCATTCATCCTTCCAGCCATCCCTTACCATCCAAAAACTTCTAACAGCACAACCCAAAAATCAGTCCTAATATGCTGGAAATCCCTTGGTGAGTTGTTCCACAAGAAACAGAGTAGGAGTGAGTGTGTCTACTGATTAGATCCTCCCAAAGTAAGGTCTTATGGAGCAGCGCTACATAGCCTCAATGGTGACAGCTCCAGCTGCCACAACATCCACAGCCCAGGCGATGTAAACCTTGACCATTACAAAAGGCCTGAGCCCAGGCAAGGCACGTGTAAAGGAGACTAGACGAGGTCGTGGAGACAGTATGTATCCTCGATTAATCTGTAGAACTTTATACAACTTGTCATTTTTGCGCAAGGAGATAGGACTCTGCTTTGCAGCTCTAGCCGTAATACTGCCCCAGGGAAGTGACGATATTCATACACATGATATCTCACTTACCAGAGAGCTCCCAAAAGTTTCTATGGACCTATTCAATAGAATCTATACGGACAACACGTGCATCCACATGAAAGAGGCTATAATCATTCTCTGTCCCCTAAACTGCCAAGGATGTGTCCATACTTCAGGTTGTTGACATGGCTGCTAGAAAGTAGCCTGTATCAATATGGGTTTAGACAATTAAGATCGATACACAGTTGCACTTGGGAGGATGGAAACTGCTTTACAGAATTCCTTCACACAGCGACCTCACATGTAGCAGTCTTCTTGACCTTGAAAGGGCTTATGATACCAATGGAAGCATGGTATACTCATGAAGCTGTATGACATTGGTTTAAGAGGAGCATTACCGA